AACGTCACGCCCTTAAAATTTTTACCCGCCGAGGATTATGTTGAATACGCTGATAATCGCCTTACTCGCTATCAATTACTGAATAAAATAACGCAGTCTTTCTGGCGGAGGTGGAGTCAAGAGTACCTCACTTCCCTTCAGCAAAGACAAAAGTGGAATACACCATCTACACCTGTTCATCGGGGTATGGTTGTCATAATTAAAGATAATAATACGCATCCACTATGCTGGGCTCTGGGTGTTATTGATGAACTTTATCCTGGTAAAGATAATATCGTTCGTACTGTGCGCGTTAAAACTTTGTCAGGAACTTATATTCGACCTGTAGTTAGGATTTGCCCCTTGCCTCTCCAGTAATACAATTAATTTTCTTATACGCATGCATTTTTTTTTTATCGTTCGCTTATTTTATTTTAATTTTACTTAATTACCGCATTCAATTAACTTACTTTGTTTAGAGGAAAACCTCTAGGCCAGGGAAGTTGTTTACGCCGAAACGTAACATTATTTCATTTTTACCTATACTTTCCTTACGCAGCGATAGTTCGACCAATACTCTATTTCACTCACACGCAGCCGCGCATCTCGTTCATTCATTTTTAACTACCAATATAATAGAAACATAAGCGCGCGTTTTAATTTGCATATCTGTCTCACTCACGCATACTCATCCCATGTATGTCCTTCCTTGTCCTACTTCCTGAAACCATGCAACATGTCAAAGGACAAGAAGAAATAGAAAGACGACTTCCGCCCAGTTAGTTCAAGTTCAAGTTCACCGCCGGCCGCCATCGCTAACGCTGCTCAATTTGAAAGTGAGAATAAATCCGTAATGTGTTGTGTTTGTTAATCAAGAAGTTTAAGAAAAACATTATAAAAATATTAGTCTTGGTGAATAGAAAATAGAACCAGCGCCGAGAATCATCGGGAGAAGTCGAAGAAAGAATTCACCGGTGAGCTCCTCTTGTCCTTTCTACCTATTCACTCCACTATATATATTTATAGCAACAATTTATTGTTTTGCCAATTTGCCAATAAGAAACTAGTTATTTGTTAAATATATATAAACTAGCCACTCGCTCCGGCTTCGCACGGGTGTACATGTATTAAAATATAAACCTTCCTCTTGAATGACTCTATTAAAAAAACCGCTTCAAAATCCGTTGCGTAGTTTTAAAGATTTAAGCATACATAGGGACGGACAGACAGCGACAGCGACTTTGTTTTATACTAAATGATACCAGAGTTAAACTTTGTACAATACTATATGGTTGATATAAATCTATTTCTAACCAACTTGCAATATGTTACTACCCTACATCCCACTCTTATTTTTATCCACCAAATCTGGGGGGCATCAACAAGAGTCGTTTGTACGTCGCGTCGAGCACACGCAGATCCGCATTTTCTCCACGAGCCAACGTCATCGATTCCTCGCATTGTATAATCTTTTGTATTCATGAGTATGATTGTTTCATGTATGTACATACATATCCTCCATCAATATCCGAGTCACGTGTTTTAAGAATATATATTTTTTTAATAATATAAATTTGCTCGGCTCCTAAAATGAAAAGCGAGATGATATATACCTAAGCTTTTGCAATTATTAAACCAATTTAATATATTGGTGAAAACCACAGTAAAATCCGTTCACAGGTTTTTACGCGATGCTTATTTAAACAAACACACACACAGACAATAATTTAAAAAAATCTTTGATGTAGAAATAATAAAACTTATCTATTTCTGCCATAGGGCTAGGGTTGGCAACCGTTCTCTAGTAGAAATAATAAAACTCATTTAATTCTGCCAAACTGCTAGGGTTGCCAACACTACTCTAAAATAGAGTATCGTACTTTATATCCTGTAGGGGTACTCTATCTAGAACACTAATAGAGTATGCTAAAATACTCTTTTTTATACAATACTAGCTGTGCCCGCGGTTACAACCGTGTGAAATTTATAACGTATATTCTGATGTATAAACCTATATTACTGTAAACTTTTATCAAAATCCGTTCAGTAGTTTTTGCGTGAAAGAGTAACAAACATCCATACTTAGAAACTTTCAAGTTTATAATATTATTAAGATAAGATTTACTATACTAGTGTCAAACACCGAACTGCAAAGAGTACAAAAGAATCATCATCATCATCATCTCAGCCCGGAAGACGTTCACTGCTGGACATAGGCCTCCCCCAAAGATCTCCATGACGATCGGTCCTGCGCTGCTCGCATCGTACAAAAGAATACCTTATTAAAATTAAAAAACAAATGATACTCTATTTTGTAAGTCCGTACTCTTTATTAACCTCCTTTGAAATCAGATATACTCTATTTCTTCCAATAAAAGTTGGCAAAAAGCAAGCTGCTGGTACCTGCCGAGGTTTTCTCACAAGACTACAGCATGGGGTTTTTCAAGAAGGGGTATATTAAGGTTTCTTAAGGGTCGGCAACGCGCACGTGGCACCCCTGGTGCTTCAGGCGTCCATAGGCTACGGTAACCATTTACCATCAGATGGGCCGTATGCTTGTTTGCCACCATAGTAGTATAAAAAAAACCCTAGTACAAGCAGCTTGCTCCGGTGAGGTAAGACGGCGGTGAGATAAAAGACTACAGAAGTACGGTATTTTAGTCCTCGAGAATGATAACGCATGAACGACTCCAGCGGTCACAATGACGGGCTCTGTGGTTTAGTCGTTTAGCACACCGCCTGACTTCCTAAGGTCGCGGGTCGATTTCTCGCGTGATACAAATATTTGTACATATAATTGTTTGTATCAGTCTGGGAGTTTTCTATGTATATTACGTATGTATTTATGAGAAAAAAATATTTAAGTATTGATATCAGTTGTTTACTACCATACCCATAACAAAAGTACAATATCGTGAGGTTATTATAAAACGGTGAAATAATAATATCTTTTTTTATAAATTTGCGAATAAATTAAATATAAAAATGTAATTAAATTCCAATGAACGAAAACGATGTCCCAGACATATCACTTTTAACACTCCTTTTTTTTGTGTCCGGGGTTATTAAAATCTACAAAATAATCAATATCCTTACGACTTTATATTCATACAATAACAGTTTCTTGTTTAGCAAAATATATTATATATATATATATGATTAAGCAAACCCGTTACATATAATTAATATAAAAAATACAATAGTAATAGGTGATCGTTATTCGAAGAGCTGCAATTCATTTATACTCCATGAATACAGAAAATTTTATTCTAAGCAATAATCATAAAGAACAAGATAAACCCAAAAAATATTAGTCTATTTTTAAAAAGCCTAACTTAATTAATGTATTAATAAACTAAAACTTAGGGGAAAATGGGATTGTTAATAATGTGGTCTAATAACCCCATTGCTGGCAATGTACCATGTCAGGTAGACCTCCACGCGGATCCCTTTGAAAAACATCGTGAATAAACTCAAAAATAACTGACTTGACCTGACCTCATGCTCATCATCCTCCACTGGTGCCCCGCCAGCGTAAACCGTTAGCGCAAGCGGGTGCACCATTCTATTACCATCCATAATACTAAAAATGACTGGGGAAACGGAATTGTTAGTAATATGATCTAATAACCCTATTGCTAGCAATGCACCATGTCAAGTTCCACGAGATTTCCTGTAGGGAAACATCGTGGCAAATTGGTATTTGCCAAGATGGGTCCACTGACCTGAACTTATCATCCACTGGTGCCCCGCCAGCGTAAACCGTTAGCGCAGGCAGGTGCACCATTCTATTCATCCCAAAAAAATATACTAAAAATGACAACCTCCCTTAAATCTGTAAGTCGAATTGTGGTCCCATTACCAACTAAATCAGGTTGACCTCTCCAAACCATCTAAACCTCTCAAAACCATCGTGGTTAATCCGCGGCGATGAGCTAACTGACATGACTTCATGCTCATCCACTGGTGCCTCGCCAGCGTATACAGTAAGCGAAGGCGTTTGCACGCTACCCTCGACACTAAAAACTACACCATAAGCTGTATTGTGAAAGTACATGAGTCTGAAGGGACAGCTGGAGGTTCAAATTTCGACTCTATTCTATTGTAATTTCGATACCCATTTAAATGGAACAGGGACAATCTTTCCTTAATCTTAATTTTATTTTCTTGTTTGGTATTGTTAATATTGTTACACTATTGTAAAAAGAACTGAATAAATATTTTTTCTTCTTTCTTTCTTTCTTGCTTTTTGTGTATGGCGATGAAATTTGAATTTGTTTTTAGTCTCATAATGTACATATACATAATGATATAATTATTACAGCTTTTCGAATATCTATCAAAGTGAAACAATTGGCCGTGTGTGCAAGTTCAACTATATTATAATATATATAGAGAAAAAAATACCCTGTGTTCGCAACATAATATGCAATATGTTCTATACTGACCTATGTAAAATACGAAATGGTTTGTACCATATCTGAGTATATTAAACTAATTTAAAAAGCAACGTAAATAAAGTAATAAATATCCCACTTCTGAAGAAAAAAATCAGCGACCATAGACATATTGTCTATGAACTCCATACAGCTATCGAATATTATTTAACACTACTGTCCACGCCTAAAATGGAAAGAAAGTTGGCAACACTGAACGAGTGTTGTATTTCTTCTGCATCTATTGTCATGTCTCTCTGTACAAAAAACTCTATGAACAATAGACGACTTTGTAATTCTTTATTTATATCAAGTAATGATCGCATTGATCAACTACTTTCCAATAAATTGTTACACTTAATTGTTATAATTGGAATAAAAATGATACTATTACACACCATTAATATATGATCCTATAATGTTTTATTTTAAAAATAAAAAATATGTTCCCGCCATATTTTTTTTTAACTCGTAAAGCAAAGGAATCGCTCCAAAACAGCCATAACCCTATTGCCTACGTGGACAGCGTCATAAAGCCGCGTACACACACAACCAATGCCACTAGTAACGAAACTATCCACTTACGTTTAGTGGATGGCTCGCCGTCGTCCACTTTGGACTTTTTAGCCCGCGACGTGGATGCTCTGGTAGCCACTCGCTTTTTTGGTTTGGGGTCTTCTTTTTCCTTCTTGATGGCCATATCGAATTCTGGAATGACGGGTTTTATTAACTGTATTATTTTAAATATGTTACTATATGTTACACGCGAAATCGTCTGTTTTTTAAGCTAAAAGATTGCTCATGTACATCCTTGTAATTCAATATATCTTTAGGTAAATTGTTAACAATGTAAAACAAACAGACAGAAAAACACACTTTCGCAGTTAAATATAAATAATTAAATAACCCTGGACAATTCACACAGCGCCATCTAAGCTTGTTTTATGGGCACTAGATAATTGATACAAATATTTTTTTTTTTATATCTATTATACATAGAAAACATGAATATAAATGTTTGTGCCGTGCGAGGAATCGAACCCACTCTATTTTAGCTTGGTCTAATGGTTGTATATACGTAATTTAGTATTTCTACACTTCCCGAAGGTTGACTGGTAGAGAATGCCTATAGCATTAAGTGCGCCTTTTGCACCATAATTTATTGGTCAATAAAGTTTTAAATAAATAAACCCGCGTCCATCGGAAGTAAAGCGGTGTGTTCAACCGCTCTACCACCTAGGCCGTCAAATTATATGGATTATATACCTGAGCATTAATAACTCATTCATCAGCAACCTTATGTATCACTTACCATTGGCGAAAAATAGACTAAGGTATCATCATCACTTACCATTGCCGGAGAAATTGTCAGAGAGGTTGTTATCATTGTCGGAGTCATCCCCGTCATCCAGGTTTGTGGCTTCAACTTTAATTAGGTCACCTGCAGATAAACAATATTTTTATTTATACCTTGACAGTGGTAGACAAGCATACGGCCCGTCTTATAATAGTTATTCACCGTAAAATTGACGCTTTTAACACAGTTAAAGAATGCATCAGGCATTAAAACCATGTTACAATTTTGCGTGCAAAAAACTTTCTATTAAAAAAATAAGAAATTCAGTTGAGTTTCTTGCCAGTCCAATTCTCAATTGAATCTGTATATGGAACTGGACGGTAGGGAAAAAATTATAATACAAAAACTGACGTTCATAAGCTGCTAAAATATCGTACATGAATAAATTACTTTTAATTTTGAATAAAAAAAAACAAAAAAAGGCAAGATCTGAAAGATTATTAAGTGTATAGGAAGATGCGGTTAGTATACTTTGGAGAGTATCATTGAGTTTCAATAATATCAACAAACGAAGACGTGTGAAGGTAGACCATCTACCCGCTGCTCTTCGGTTTACCCATGATCATGGTGGTTGAAACACTGCTGAAATATCGGGAACTTGGTTTTTATCTCAGGATAGAATGTAAACTTTCCAAAGGAGATATTTCGTTTATGCATGAGTGGGCTACAACCACATAGAATGTCTAGTGGTGTTTTGTCTTCAGCTTAGCAGATTTTTAATATGTACAGTCCTAGGTTTGCCATGTTTATTCAATTTGCCATGTGCAGTGTGGGCCCTAGTCATAATGCATATTGTTGTTTTATAGCAATAGTCTATTGGAGTTTTTATTCGATATCTGTACTTACTTTTAAATAACTTGTCCTGCAAGCATTTCTTAAATTGCACCTCGGTATGCTGTACTTGCTTTTTGAAATTCGCAGCGTTTCGAAGTTGTGTGATGCACACTTCACATATGCCACCCTCTTCCCCAGGTTCCGCTGTGGTCAGCTGTCAAAATCAATATAAAAAAAAAATATTCATTGTTTTGTATCAATATTCAAAGAGCATGATGGACGACAGTTGAAAGTGGCAAGACATCCATAGACAAGAGTGTCACTCTTAAATTATTTATCGCTATTCCTACAGAGACATGTGTATGTCTCTATAGGAATAGCATATAGAATATTAGGGGTAAAATTAACAATAGCCAGGTGTTGAGTTGTGTGGAGTTCTGTGTTCCGGATAAATATGTATGGTGTCGCCGTCGACCGCAACTGCTGGCTGTGCCGCGCGGGGCCACACACTTACTAGGCAAAGCACCGGTCACAAGAGCACTGACATTAAATCATATAACGGAGCAAATAGATCTATTTTCTTGTTCTCTGAATGAGTTCACGAAGATCGCTTTATTTATTATAAGTTATAATTAATTTAAAAAATAATGTTTGCTGCACTATTGTATTAGGCTAAGACCTGTAAAAATAGATGTAAGTGGGTAAAAATAAAATATTTTTTTTTTTTTATTTATTCATTTCAGTCTACTAATTGCCCATACTATAAATACCTTATAGACTAACATACATATGTAATAATAAGATATATAAATATAAATCATCTCTGTGGTGACAACACTGGCAAAAGTTATTTTCTATGGTAGAGTCATTACACCCCACCCCCTTCAGCCAATACTCCTCCTTCATGAAGATGGGCAGTATGTTGGTTGGAACCCTGGTCCCATACACCTTGGAACTCACATTGTGACTTGACTCAAGCTTCGTCACTCTCAATGTTAGTTTACTCCTGGGCCATATACAGGCAACAATGTCCAAAGCAATGACAATGGACAAAGCGAAATGTCAAGTCGAGTGTGTGTTTAATATTTAAGGTCTATAGGGTTTTCAGTAATGGGACTTATTGCCTAAAATCTACACCCGCATGGAAGAAAGGTCCAAACTATCCTCCCTAGAAATTGATGTGGTAAACTCGCAGTGAAAACACCAGGATGGGCTAACAGAATTGATTTCAACTTAGTCACGGTGCCAGCGTATACCATTAACTTATTCTAGTGCACTATTACATTTTAAAAAAAAACATGCATTATTATTATAGAGGCACTAACAATGCCCTCCCTGATTTGTCATACGTTTAAACAATGATTTTCTTTGTTAAACAATATATTCGGCTAATAATCAATCCCATAACATTAGAACTAAGCACTAGTCCTATAATTTAACATTAGAACTAACAAATTGTGTCTAAATCTATTACTTTTAAATCAATATATACTGAAGTAAATAAGTACCTATATATAATCGATGTTAATTAACCTAACTGCAAGCAATAATTTAATAGTTCATATTGGATATAACAAAGAACATTCAAGAATAGCTAAGAACATAAGTTTAGTAAAATAAAAATACTTACAGAAATATCGAAACATTCTTTCAGCATATCGGAATAAATCTCTTCTTGGCCCATCCATTGGTAGGCGTTGGATAAATTCTTAAATGTCCCTTCAGAAGCACAACACCGGCACATGCCATGATTCATTGTAGTGTCCATTTTGTCCTTTAACACTGCCACAATAATAACACGGAACTTATCAATATAAAATTAGTTATTTAATACCGCGGCCAAATAACAATACTAATGAGGATCCGCCATTTTGTAAGCGCAAGGAAAACAAGCGATGGCTTCGCACTACCTGCGAGTTCCGCAGTGTTGCCAGACATTGGTTAGCAGTTTTTCAGCCGTGTGGTGTTTAAAATTGCACAATTCTCGTGGTTCCACAGTTTTCGTTTATTTTAAATAGAGGTGTCCCAACTCGTAATAAACATGACTCCTGTTGATATTCAGGTAACTCGAGTTACCGGGAAGGAACAGTTTGTTTTAATATTTCGAACTATTCCAATGTTGTTGGACGCAGCGGCTTATGATAACTTTACCGAACCACAAGAGGCAGCTATCCGCTATTGATAAAAAACGAGTTATATCAATAAAAATCAAGTAGATGCATTTTCATATTTTTTTCAGTTGCAGAGTAAGTAAATAAAATCGTTTGTCACCTACAATTGTATTTATAACTGCCAAAATTCTCTGGATTCCTCCCAAAGAACAGGCTGTATAGTCTAGAAACCTTTGCCTTTCTACATGCAGCGAATTAAAAAACAACAACTGTCAAAAATCGTCAATATTTTTTATTTATAAAATTAAATTAGATATCTTTACTTTTGTTCTTAATCTGATTGAAATTTCTTTTCCTAAATTACATTAAACTTATAAAATGTCCTCTGCAACATTCTGTCGGTGTTGCCTGGTCCGTCCGCCCGATAAAGACTTAAAAACCATGCACATCTTCCTTGGGAAACCTGAGATATATTGTGATATGTTGAAGGAATGTTTTGAGATTCTTGTAAGTATCTAATTAGAATAATATTTTACTAATTTCACGATTTACTCAGCCTTACCCTCATAATTTGAGTAAAAATAGGACTGACATTTTCTTCAACCAAATATTGCTTTTTCATGCCCGCGCTTGCAGTTTCAAATAATTTTGATTAATTTTATGCCAAAATCTATACATCTTTATTGACCGGAACGCTTGAGCCTCAAAAATATTTTAAAAGTATTCTACCGAATTTTGTTTTTCTGAACCATAATCAGTTTTGGCGCGAAATATTTTGGTTTTAATTTCGCATTCAAATGGCCTTTTTAAATTCGTTCTAAAATATATTTTTAGTAGTCACACTCCTAGCAAAGGTACAGGTTGAGATCAATTACTCATCTGTATAAATTCCTGTAAAACTGACATGCTTATAAACAAACATGACCATAGATTACTGGAATGCAAGGGAATTTGAAGTAATATGGATTAATAACCCAATTACTAGCAATACAGTATGTCAGGTTGACCTCCATGTTCTTCCTGAAAACCATTGTGATAAATTCTGGATGAATATGTTATTATTCTTATTATTGATTGAATCTCTTTTGCTTCCAGTTATCTTCAGGTAATCGAGAAGGCGACAGTGGTATATGTGAAATGTGCATAACACGTCTCCGTGACGCTACTGACTTCAAGAAACAGGTGGAGCAGTGCGAGAAGGAGTTCCAGATGCAAATAGCACTTGGTCATCAGCTCAAAAATTGCAAAGGTATTGAAAAAAGTAATATTTTACGAGAATTTAAAGAACTTTCAATGTTTTCATCGAAATAATCGTGTCCCAATCTACTTTTTTGTTGTCTACTACTATTGCTGGTATTGTTGGTTAAGCACCTTACTTCTGAGGGTTGCGGGTGCGATTCCTCGCATGGTACAAACATTTGTATTCATAAGTATGATTGTATATAGCGGTCTGGATGTTTTCTATTTATATTATGTATGTATTTACAAAAAAAAGTATATATTTATATCAGTTATCTAGTACTCATAATTTTAGAAGATTTAGAATATAGATATAGATTTAGAAATTTAGAAGAATTTTAAAGTATTTTTATTTAAATAATCCATTTAATGTGATATTAATTAATACATGTCAAGATCAAATTTATCTCAATGTTAATGTTTACTATTAACTTATAATTTTGTAACGGAGGAGCCAAATGTAACCTGTTTTGATTTATTTCCTATATAAATAAATCTGAAATCTATTTTTGAGTAGAAGATAATAACTTGACCTCTTTTTCTCAGATGATATGGACAAAGTGAAGGAGGAAGTTCCAGATCCTGATGATGAGAATGGCATCTATTTTCTCGGTATGCTTTTGTTGTGTTATGTCTAAATCACGTCCGTAAGGCTTTTTTTATTTGATGACCCCTGTGGTGTAGCGGTTTAGCATACCGCCTTACATTCCGATGGTGACGACAGGTGTGCAATGACGTCGGCGGTAGGATGCCGTCCAGTTTCAATTTTTCGTCCAGAGATCTCTTGTTGTGGATTCGATTCCTCGCATGGCACAAACATTTGTATTCATGAGTCTGTGTATTTATATGTATTTATGAAAAAAAATATATGTATTTGTATCAGTTTTCTAGTACCTAGAACACAAAATTTAGCTAGCTTAACTTGGGTCTAGATGGCGGTGTGTGAATTGTCCTGAGATTATTATTATTATGTGATCATGTGACGCCCATAATACCTCTCATGCGTTCCTGAGCGTCCTCTTATTCTGTTATTTCACTGCCTACTCTCACCCTACAACTGAAACAGCCTGTAAAGGAAGCGATATGACTGCTAAATGTGAGGTAGACATGTACATAGACAACTTTGAACAAAGTCCACATTTTGTGAATATACTATTATTTGTAAATTCTAGAGATCAAAGATGAGCTATCGGACTTTGAAAATTTGAAAGACGATGAGGATAAAAAATTAGCTGAGATGCTGGGATACACAGATGTCAGTATCAAGAAGAAATCTGCCAAGAGACGCAACAAGAAACTAGGTCTTGAGAAGACCGGCACTGGTGAGTAGTATGTACTTACTATTTTTTTAATGGTAGAGCAATCTGTATAACACATGTCTGTGCACAGAAAATGAGATGTCTCGAACCGGGAAATACCACAGCGCTTCAGGATACCAGTAGTGCCTACATACTATTTTTTTTAATGTTAGAACACCCTGTATAACACATGGTCGTGCATAATAATGGACCGTCTCAAACTGGGGAATTACCACAGTTCTTCAGAATACCAATATTACAAAAATACAATTTTTTTTTGTTAGAACATTCTGTATAGCTCATGGCCGTGCAGAAAAAATTAAATGTCTCAAACCGAGAAATACTACAGCTTTTCAGTGTACTAGTAGTACATACTATTTTTTTAATGTTAGAACACCCTGTATAATACGTAGTCGTGCAACACAAATAGACCATCTCGAATCAGGAAGATAATCCAAGACAGTATAAAAGTTGAAAAATGGTGCAAGGTTGAAAAATATTATAATGAATTGTCAAATTTTTATTTTTACTGCAATAAATGGAAATGTTAATGTAATTTACAGTAATTAAGTAATTAAATTTACAGCAAAATATCGATTTTAATTATTATATTGTTTGTTTATTTACTTACATAAATGTATACATATTTTTACAATATATTTATTACAAACATTTTCTGACTTTTTAAACTAGTTCTAGTGTTATATCCAACATTTTCAATTGTAGATATCAAAGAAGAGTTATCAGATTTTGAAGATTTGAAAGATGAGGATGACAAAAAGCTGGCAGAGATGCTGGGCTTTGCAGATGTTGCAATCAAGAGAAAGTCGAAAAGACGCAACAAGTTACTTGGACTCGAGAAGACCAATTCTGGTGAGTAGATTTGTATGTAAATTGGAATTTCCATCCAAATAAGTTGAGACCACCTAATGGTAAAGCTGCCTATCCATATACTAATATTATAACGCTGAATAGTTTGTTTGTTTGAGCGCGTTAATCTCAGGAACTACTGGTTCGAATTGAAAAATTCTTTTTGTGTTGGATAGTCCATTTTTCGAGGAAGGCTTTAAGCTATACAGCATTAGGCGACGACCAATAGAAGCGAAGCATTAGTAAAAAATGTTGCAAAAACGGGGAAAATTATTCATATTCAGAAGCCCTTAATTCTGTTACGTACACTAGCTGTGCCTGCGACCTCGTTCTTCTGCGCGAACGAAGTCGCAGGCACAGCTAGTGTAATATATAAGGGTGGTAGAATGTAGGAAGTAAATCAGGCGCCAATCAGCTTGCTTTGCAAGCAGTTCTAGTTTGAAGAGCGAGACATGACAGTGTAATTATATTAAAATTAAATTCTTTGTATCGAGAGTTAAAAAGACCGCATGCTGCGGATGGATGTCAGAAAAGATTGACAAAACAGATATACAATCTGAAAGTGGATGTATGCACACACTTGGGGAGGCTGAAACTAACCTATTACGATCAGATTGATTGTATGTTGTGTAATAGAGGTGTTAAGAGACTTCCGGGACTGTCGTGTATGAGGGGGGTTGTGAAAGAGAATGAAGCAAGAATTGTATAGACAGAAGCCAGTGCACTCGGTCCTATCTGGCTACCTGTAAAGAATATGGCTTTATTATCTTCCTACGCTTATTTGAACTAGAAAAATACTGAAAAAATGCTCGGTACGATATTGTGGATTTTCCATTGCTGTTCCACCTACGATCAAGAAAAGAGCTTATTCCTTTTTAAAAGACCGACAACGTCCTTGCAATTCCCTTGGTGTTGCGGGTGCTTATGGGCAGCGGTAATCACTTACCATCAGATGAGCCGTATGCTCGTTTGTCCCCTGTATTATAAAAAAGAAAAGGTCCCGCAGTATTTTCCCGCTCTGCTACCGTTTGTCTCAACATATTACTAACGAATGCCTTCCCCTAATGTAATATGGATTAATCTTTAATTACAGACCGGAAATCCAAAAAACTGCTCACCAAACCACTCAAGATTTCATTTCGCGCGCTCTCCCAAATGGACAAACTAAAAAACCCCGTCTCCGTAGCGTCAAGTCTTCGTTACGTTAGCGAGAAAAAGCAACACAAAGCAAACATATACAACATTCTCAAGTATTCGAACTGTACGCCATTTTCAAGCAAAACCCTAGCTGGCATCGTCTGCGCGTACTGTAAAGACACTCATCCAAATCCTGAAGCTTTAAGAACTCACATCCAGGAAGCACACCAAGATGACGACTTAAACGCCAACAAAAGAATAGACAAGAACAACATGTCCTTAAAAGTAGACATAACAGATTTAAAATGCAATATATGTAGTGCAAAAACACCAACAATATCAGATCTAAAGATGCACCTAACGAAGGAACACGACATAAAATTCTATTTAGATATAAACGATTACATATTGGAATTCAAATTGACTGATGGCGAAATGATGAATTGTGCGTTATGTCATTCAACATACGAAACTTTTAAAATGTTACTCCAACATATGAACGGTCATTATAGGAATTATATATGCGAAGTTTGCGATCTAGGTTTCATAAATAAACACAGATTAAAAAACCACCAGCGCACCCACGAACTTGGGACTTTCAAATGCGCATTCTGCGAGAAAGTGTTCAGTACGAGAGTTAAGAAGATGTGCCATGAGAAATATACGCACAACACAAGCGCTAGATACACAACGAACTGTCCGCATTGTGACCAATCCTTCACAAGTTATTATCAACGGAATCGGCATATGTTTAACGAACATAACACCGTCGCTGCATCGTACAAGTGCAATATATGTGATAAATCGTTCATATTAAAGTCTAAACTGACCTCGCATATTAAAAAAGTGCATTTGATGGAACGTAATCATAAATGCGCGGAATGTGGTCAGGGATTCTTTATAAAGCAATCGTTGGATGAACATATGATTAAGCATACTGGCGAGCGTGTGTATAAGTGTATGGTCTGTCAGAAAGCATATGCACGCAAGAAAACGCTAAGGGAACATATGCGTATCCATAATAATGATAGGAGGTTCAAATGCGGTATGTGCGGACTGGCGTTCGTTCAAAAATGCAGTTTAAAGAGTCATATGTTGTCGAATCATGGCATAACTCTATCAGAGTATGAAAATATGACACATGATTAGTTTAAAAAGTTAATATTCGTGTGTGGAACTATGTATCGGGCGTTTAAGGTTGCTGATATACAGTCGGTTAGTCTTCAGGTTGCCCAAATAATGTTTCGATGTAATCTGATTGGCGCATTTGGTTTCACGCCCCACCTACTTTGGAGACGGTCTAACATGGTGTTTGAGTACCCTGACGACCGACTGAATGCCAGAATCATTAGGGTGGTCATATACATACTTAGTTGTCAGGTTGAAAAACAATTAAGACATAAGCTTTCAAATTAAAAGTTTATTTTTGTTTGATACAGTTTATTAAGCATGTGATTATAGGAACTAAAACGACCGAACAATGGCAGGTTTACTCAAAGACCCAAAAACACAGTAAGAATATATTTCTTTAATATATAAAAATAATGATTATATTAATCAGTTGTAAATTTATACTAATTTTTTTTCATTTCCAACACCGAATATGAAAAAACTACTAAAAATTAAGATAGATCTAATATAAGAACAATCATGTAATATAGTTTTTACTTAACGTTGATAATGGAATGATGCACCCGCTTATGCTAACAGTATACGCTGGTGGTATACCAGTGGAGGATGATAAGATGACCATGAAGTTAAGTCACATAGACAATCGTGGATCCAGCAGGAATTTAACCATAATGGTTTTCAGTGGAAACCGCTAGCTAGCTAATTTTACTAGCGAGGGGGCCAATATGTAATTACTAAAGTCCGTCAGCTTAGAGCTTGCGTTTCCGACACGTCGAGATCGAATGGGCGATGTAACTTTGAACTGCCGTACTTTTTACGGCTATATATTGTATATCTTTTATTTGCCTTATTAACAAGTCATAACATTAAAAATTTAATCATTATTCCACATTACAATAAACATATTCAATTTGAGCTAAAATTATTAACTACTTAACAAATATAAAAACAATAGTTTTTAAAGTCAAACCACATCAAACTGCGCTGTTTGTTTTTGATTACTATTTAATTTTTAATGTTATCACTCGTTAATAAGACAAAAGATATTCATTTTGCCGTAAATTGTATGTCAGTTCAAAGTTACATCGGCCATTCGATCTAGACCTGTCAGAAATGCAACCTCTGATCGGCCGGACGTTAATAACCCCCTTCCCAGATGTATTATATTACTGAGAGTCCTAAAAAGTCTTCAATATTGTTCTTCCAAGTTGTATATATTTTGCAAAACTCTAGAAAAATGTTTTATTTATGAATTGTTATAAAAATAAAAGATTTTGTTTAAAAATGCCTTTTATTAATTGAAAACTGCTTCTTAGCCACCTTTTTTTATACTACGATGGTGGCAAACAAGTACGGCCCATCTTATGGTAAATGGTTACCATAGTCTATGAACGCCTGAAACACCAGGGGTGTCACTCACCATCAGGCGTGGCGTCAGATTGTCATCCCAGCTTCAAAAACTCTTTCAAATGAAGAACGTAGCTTGTAAGAAACACTGGTTTATTTTACCATAAGTTGATTAAAGTATTGAGATATTGACGGGCTCTGTGGCGGCCACAGGTTTGATTCCTCGGACGGTACAAACATTTGTAGTCATGAATACGATTGTGTGTGTCGTTCTACGTGTTTTCTAAGTATACTAGAATATCTCAGGATAGTACAAGACAATTCAAGTTTGATCTTGCTCTAGGAGCTCTTGGACAAAAATAATAAGTATTTACAAAAACAAAAATGTATCTATATACTTATATCAGTTGTCTAGTATCCATAACATCTGCCTAGCTTGAGTCTAGATGGCGCTGTGTGAATTGTCCTGAGATTGTTTTCATAGAACTAGATTCAGATTAGCGTCCTCCGTCGTCGTCTCAACGCCAGGAAAATTGCAGTCGACTCTCCGGCCTTTTAAGGAGGAATATGCTCCTTTCTTGAAGATTTTACTATCATATCCGTAATTCATGGTCGTAAACTTGAAAAATAAAATCACAACTAAAATAGATTTATTGCTCATTTACAATTTAAGGAACAGTAAATAAATATAACAATGTAGCAGATAAAGAACTTTTATAATACATAATTTACAATATTAGATCTTATGTGTATACACAGAAAGTATTATTTATGTTGTGATGAAACTGTAATTTTCATATTTCATGGTACTAGTACTATTTCAAAATTCTACCAAAATTAATTTAATATTCAGTAAGACTATAGACAAAAGACAAACAATATTAATCTATTCTCAATTTGACCACAGAGTTTAAAATAATGGTCGCCCAGTGGTCGAAATTCAAAATTAATTTAACATTCAGTAAGACTATAGACAACTAATATTGAAGACAAACAATATTAATCTATTGTCAATTTGACCACAGACTGTAACAATAAACAAAAGAAGTTTCACGACTAGTTCGTGACGTCACATATTCTACAATTTTGTCACAACATATATATATGCCTCAGAATTTTAAATGTGTGTTTTACATCTCTGTGTAAAATATAAAAAAAATATAAAATATTTACAACATCAGATCTCAGTTCATGTATTTTTTTACACTTCACTAAAAATGTATATAAAATTGATTGCACAGTTGTCCCTGTTTTAAAGGATCCGGGAAAAAAAAAGAGCCGGAATTTCATTATTTTTTTTAGACTACTATAATGCTGTTCATTCCTTCATCATTCATTTGTTCATTTCCTTTTCATTCAGAGTAAGTTCAACAAAACACATCACACCAATTAAACCTACTTTATCTTTTGTCCTTTTCTTTCATTACTTGAAAGACAGTAATAAAATATTAACAGTTAAAATAAGTTTTTTTCTATTTTAGTCTTCATGAATACGGGGGTAAAACTTTATTTCACTTATGCAAGTTATCTCAAAAAGTGTTCTTTTATGCGATTTTTTTATTGTAGGTTGGCCTATTGTTGGTGCTTTAGGCACTGGGACCTATATTTATCTATTGTGCTCGTCCTTATAAAGTTCGCTACCTAGACCCGGCAGGAACAAGAATTGAAGGACGTTCTTAGAAACGATGGTTTTCATCTCCTCAGGACAGAGTGTATACTTTCCAAAGGAGATATTTTGTTTATGCATGAGTGGGCTACAACCAAATAGGATGTGTAGTGGCATTTCCTTCTTCTTTATGAGATAACATCTAGGAACTATTCTCTTTATTCATCACCCATCAGTCTTCTGCCTGCAACAATACGCTTATCATCTTCTTATATTCGAGATTGATCTTCCATTGACGGAACCTCGTCGATTCCTGATGAGTTCTCAGGAATATGGAGCCTGAAGAAAATTTAGATAAATATCTGGTCCTTCCCAGACAAAATGTACTGCCTGCAACCATATGCATCTTCATGAATTCAGGATTAATCTTCTCTAGATAGAACCTCATCGATTCCTGATCAGTTTATGTAGAAACATGGTTCCCGAATGAAAATTTAGCTAAATCTGGTCCTTAAAGACAGGATATATCTTAAGATGACGTAATATCCCTTTATGCCTTACCTATACCAATAAATTTGGTCCATCTGAGGCAGGATATATCTTAAGATGACGTTATATCACTATATAATCATACCATTAAATCTCATCCTACGGAGACAAGATATATCTTAAGATGAATTTATATCGCTAGCTGCCATACTAATACCGTTAAATATGGTCCTTCCGAGACAGGATATATCTTCAGATAACATCACATCACTAGCTGCCATACTACTATATCTTAAGATGACGTTGTCACTAGCTAGCATACCTTTCCCTTTCAATCTGATCCTTCTGACACAGGATATATCTTAAGATGACGTTATATCACTAGCTTTCATACTCACAACATTAAATCTGGTCCTTCCGAGACAGGGTAGGTCTTAAGATGACGTTATATCGCTAGCTGCCATACTTATACCATGATTCGATAATAGATGACTTTTCAAGCTGCATTTCTGTACAAAAGCCATCGCGCACACATCACATTTAAACCTTCTGTCATTGTTGTGTATCCTCATATGTTCTCTTAGTGTATATTTCCTAGCGTACGACTTATGGCACACCTCGCAGGCGTAAATCCGTTCACCTGTTAAAGAATTTTTAAAGAATTAATTGGAACTAATCTTACTTTAAACTAATCTAACTGGTAATTGTATTATACATGTATAACTCCAAAGAGGGTTCGCAAACAAGTCAAAAGTGATATATAAAAACAGTTATAAACATTAATATTTATAAAAAAAATGGTGGACAAGCTGCCAGTAACACTTATATTATAAATGCGGAAGTATGGATGGATGGATGAGGGCATCAATGTTTGTTAATCTTTCATCCAAAAACTACTGAATGGATTTTAATGAAACTTTACAATAATACAGTTTATATGTCAGAATAGCACATGGTCTATAAATTTCAGGGGTGAGAAACCGCGGGCAAAATAATTAGAATAGCGTGTTAATTTAAATAACTACATTAGTTTGTAGAAAAACTGTGTTGCAGTTATTTGCGATCCATCAAAGCAAGGTATTATTTGTTTTTTATTTAAACAAATAACAAATGAATATATCATCTAATAAATACAATTTTGAGATAGACTACTGACATTCTTTCAATATTTTATTATATAGACCATCCATACAATAAAATGGTCAAAGAATATCTTGTCTATTAATAAATTTGTCCACATATTTCGTCATTGATTTGGCATGCAAAATTTTAGTAATCTATAATAGAAATAATAAAACAATACACAAAGTGTCCCACCTGTATGCTTAATCATATGTGCTTTCAAAGCCTTCTTACTGAAGAACCGGAACCCACATTCAGTGCATTGACAATTCCGTTCCATTAAGTGATTTTTCTTTATATGGTACATCAACAACGATTTTAGTATATAAGACTTATTACATACATTGCACTTGTACTGCGCTTCGTTATTGTGGACTTTGACTAGATGCTGGTTCCGCTGGTAGTAACTACGGAATGGCTCGTTGCAGTATGGACAGTTACTGATGTTCCTCGCTCCCATATGCTTGGTCTTCTCATGGTAATGCTTCTTAGACCTACTAGAGAACACCTTCTCACAATGATCACACTTAAAACTGCCTTCTTGGTGCGTCGTTCTATGGGCATTCAACGATCTCTTCGTCGCAAACGAGCTGTCACATTTCGGGCACGTATAATTGCAGTAATGCTTGTTCATATGCTGCTTTAACATCTTAAAGGTCTCGTATGTGGATGAACACATTGCGCAGTCGTAAACATCACCTTTTTTCAACTTAAACTGTAGTATATGATCTTTGATATCGTTATATATGATTTTATCGTGACTTTTTACTAGGTGATCTTTTAAAGAGGTCAGGTTACACATTTGTTCGTCGCATAAATTGCAGGCTAGGTCTGTGATATCCAATTTTACGTTGTATTCCGTCATATCAAAGTTGGATTTGAATTGTAACCGCTCTATTTTGTGGTCCACCTCAGTGTGCGTTCGGAGATCCATTGGATCTGGGTAAGTGGCATCGCAGTATCCGCATATGAAACCGAGTAGCGATTTATTCTTGAAGGGCGTTGCGTTTGAGAATTTCAATATGGTTTGTAAGTTTTCTTTATGTTTGCTTTTGTCATGATTCGTTCTGGTGGTCCACATTAAGTTTATCTTCGTTTCTTTGTACATTGGCTCTTTAGATATGGATATTTTCGTTCGGTTTGCCTTCACGTTTGTCTCGTTCTTCAGAGGTATATCTGGAATGTCACACGTGTCTGAAAAAATAATGTATTTTTTTATTGAAGTAGAAATGCTCTGATATTTGTTTGTTGATCTTTAGATTGGTAAAACAAGGTTAATTAGCTCGCTATGACTAACTCGTCACAAATATAACCGTTTTAAACGTTGATATGTGAAAAAAAAATCTAAATATCTTTATTCATGTAGGTCTATTACAGACTTTTATGATATGTCAAATCTATCGTATGTATGGAATGATTTCGAGATCAGAAGAACTATCAAGAAACTCAGCTCGTATTCTTTTCAAATAACTGTTATACATGTTTACAATAATACAGATTCATACAGTCATTACTAAAGGAAAGGATTATAATGAAATTATACAAAAAGATGACTTATACATTAAAATAATACATAAACTATAAAATTCACAAATAGTAGAAAATAATATTTAGGCTGGATCGAGATCTTGTTTCAAAATGGAATATAAACTTACTGAGTGACGTCGCCAGTCTATTAACGAGACTTTTAATCTTCTCCGTACGCCATTTCTCTCCTGTCTTCTTCACTGCCTTCTTTATTGGTTTCTTTCTCTTCTGTTCCGATTTCTTTTTAGATTCTCTTACTTCACATTTTATTTTCTGTTCAGTGGCTTCTCTTACTGAAAATAAAACATTTTATATTTTTTCTGTCATTCTAAAATGGCTTATACGCATATGGGCCACAGGGTCAGACTTGCTAGATTCCTCTCCCGCTCTTTCCCTCAATTATAACTTTAATAAATTTATCGCGCCGTATCAAGGTAGGACACTTGATACGGTTATAAGTTACCATACATAAATTACCTGCATCAGCCAAGAAGTAGTCATCCGAGTCATCGCCACTATCCTGTTTAGGTTCCAACTTAATCGCCACTGGTTTTTGGTCTGGAATCACAAAAATATTTATCATGACTGTTACCTTCAATTAGGTAGTCAGAGGCTTCTCGAAAGTCCTCAAACACAAAGAATGAGGTTTTTATGAATGTCGCAATGCCAATAGGTAGACCACCACTACACAACCTATGTGGCTGTAGCCCAATCATGCATAAACGAAATATCTCCTTAGGAAAGACATACTATCTCATTGAAATAAATTTTGACCGCCCGGATGGTCTAGCAGTTTAGTATAGCATTTTACTCAACTATGATTATGGTTTAGATTCCTCGCACAATACAAACATTTGTATTCATGAGCATGACTGTTTGTATTGGTCTGGGTGTATTCTATGTATTTACAAAAATCTATCGTATCTAATTGTATCTAAGTATACCTATCAGTTGTCTAGTATCCACAAGCTTTGCGTAGCTTGAAACTAGATGGTGCTGTGTGAATTATCCAGGAACACTATTATTATTATATTATGAATTGATTTCTTGTATTTGATGTAATAGCGTTACAAGGTTGTGGAGAGAGGTAAATACCATTTCATTTACCATAAAATGAATCCTGTTAGGACCTGTTCATTTATCTGTGCACAATAGAGAGTTTGTAGCACATTGCTATCACCATCACCACTGTAGCATTATGTAATGAGGTGTCGCTACATAATATATTGTTTAATGTAGCATGTAGGTAGTGAAAATACAGGTGAAATAATTGTACTATTTATTGTACATTAGTAAGTTTATTTGATAGTGTGCTACATGGCTTATTAGTAACACGTACATTCGACGCGGAGTCGTACTGTGGAGTGACTTTACACTGAACTTAAGTCTTTGTTATCTGGAGAGGTACTAATGGAAGGGTCTCAAGTGTTGACAGAAATATTACAAGTGTAGGCACAAGTTATTATTATTAATATTGTGACAAGGTAAGAATTGAAATAATCACCATCTACGTCAATTAGCCGGTTGAGGAGCTCCTTCTCCGAGCGGAGAACCTGCTGCTTGAAGTCAAAGGAACTGCGGAGTAGTTCGATGCAACCATCACAGATTGCACGTCCACTGTATTCTGACATGGAGAGCTGTAACAATATAATACATTATGTATTCAAAACTGAACTTTTTATGTAATTGGAATGACAAATTGTTGGTCCACCAGATAGATAGTGGCATGTAGGTCAACCTGACATGGTACATTGTTAGGAATTGGGTCAATAGTCTACATTACTAACAATTCTCTTTCGCCTTCTTTAATGTTACACAAGCATATATTGCCACTATGAGGCCTCCATAGACTAGTAATGATTATTATTTTTATTATTATCATAGCTTTAACTTCCCCATAATGTTTTACAAACATATAGTTTCTTTGGTTTATTTAATTACTAGTTCCTTGCCCTGGCTTTGCATGGGTGTACATGTATTATATACATTCCTCTTGAATCACTCTATCTATTAGAAAAAACTGCTTCAAAATTCGTTGAATAGTTTTAAAGATTTAAGCTTACATGGGTACGGACAGACAGTGAATTTGTTTTATAATATGTAGTGATTGATAACAGAAATAGTCTATGGCTTTCAATTTAAGGTAGATCGCATGAATGTTGGCCTAACATTGATAAGACCTCATCTGAGCATCACTGACATTATATCGTGGTGAATTCACTGTGGGCTAACTGACCTGCCTTATCCTTCTCCAATCCTCATCCAAATATCTTCCGACCGCCTTACTATCTCTGATCAATGCAATGGTTGACCGATAGAGAATGGCATCAGGAATTAAGTCTGCCGTGTATACAATTATGTTTGCAAAACAATAAATAAATAATAGAGTCCTGCCATAGCATACAACACACAAACCGACTAAAACCTTCCTGCAATAACACTTATTTAAATCATAAAAATATCCAGTGCAATTCACTCATACATCGTAATATGGAAGAGGATGATGACTACTGTAACACAGGTATTTTCTATACCCCCTCAGAGTTAGGGACTTAAAAAATTATTTGTATAAAATATGTAAATAAATAAATTATAATTATACCATTAGGTGAGTTCAAAAATTTTATTAGAAAAAAAACTGTATGGTAATAGAAATAATCTTTATTCAAATAAACTCAATACAAGCACCTTTGAATAGTCATATTTTTTTACTCTACCACTCATTCGGAATGTAATTCATCACAAGAATGATACTTGTGATGAGACTTGTGTGTTATATAGATGTTCTTTTTTTTAATAAATTACATATATAAGAAATAATTACATAATAAGTAGTATGTATGGGATAATGAACATAGAAACCGCTATAATATTGTCAGACAGATTAATTCTAAGTTTTTTCTACAAAAACATTAATATCATTTACAAACTCTTCAATTTCATAATAAGCATTTTTACTGAGAAAGTGTTTTATACGACATTTGAATCATTTAGAACAGACTGACAGTTTGTTGTAAAACCTTACTCAATTACTATAAAAACAAACCATAAATGTACCATAAAAGCAAACATCATTCATAAAAGTCACAAGAACGGACATTAAAATTAATAAAGCAGTTGTAAATTTAGTACTTACGACTACATTAAAACATTCCAATAACATATCAGAGTAAATTTCTTTTTTGTTCGACCAAACATATGTGGAGTTTAGATCTTTGCTTGCACCTCCGGACAGACAACAACGGCAGACGTTTTCCGAATCCATTGTTGGCTTAGAAAGAAAATTTCTGTACACTTCACATATCTTAAAATCGTATAAAACAAGATACTTATTGATAAAATATTGTAAAAATCACAATTCGCATTATTAGAGCGCAAATTTTTTAACTATTATTTGAATAAAGAATAATAAATAAAGAGTTGGTAATCTATAAAAAATAGTAATCTGTGATTTACGTTCTGACTACATCTGTCATATGTCAGTTTCGTTTCTATTGTCAAATTTCTAAAGCTAGTGGATACTCTACACATTGAGTCAACCCGAGGAACCAATGCATTAATGAAATGTACCACCATCGAGTATTTCTTGCGGAAGTGTAGAATTATTAAAAATACTTATTTTTTGTTTCTTTTCATTTTTTATATTTACACGAATTTCAAATTAATTTGTTGTGAATTATATGTTTTCCTCTTGTACAAGCAAATTTCTTGTAACAAAAAATAATTAATGTTCTAATATAATATAGTTTGTGTGCATCTCAATATTTTGTTAAGGATACCAGAGACCACATTAATAATTCGACCATTCGAGTAGATTCGATTCGATTTATTCGATTGGCGTACAAGTCTACTTGTTTGGTAGATTTTTGTCTACGGTTCTTTCTCCAATTTTCAAAATTTCCAAATCAAAATGGCTGACTTTTGTTAATAAAGCGTATAGACGCTTCAATAATGTGAATCTATTAAATAATTAACTCATTACTTATTTATTAAACTGAATAGTGTTTAAGTGTAACAAAATGGATTTTAGGGATATTATTGTGAAGGAGAGCCCCGGGCTTTGCCGATGCTGTCTTTCGGAAGGTTGTTACAAAGATTTAGGATCGGAGTATTCTTGGATGAATGAAAATGAAATTTACGCGGATATGTTATTGGAATGCTTCGATATTAGTGTGAGTAATTAATAAAAATACGTAATACATTCATAATTTATGTACTATTAACTTTGTTTATGTTTAAAAAAAAAGTAATAATTATAGACCAATAACCGGTATGTTTTGGTCGTGTTACGGTCATTGTTTGTTTTTGTATAGACTGAGCAGTAAGTTACAAAATAAGTAGGCATGAAGCTATCTTTCTCAAGGACTAAAGTATGAGTAGTACAGGCATCACAAAATGACTTTGTTTTGCTTGGTGCTCTTCATGCAGTTTGTTTTTAATGGTCGATAAGTGAAAGGTGCCACCCCTTTCGAATGGCATGCAGTGGGTCCAGTGGACGCTTATAAAATGCAAAGTTAGGTAAATTGTTATAATGACCGTAACAATTTCAGCAGAAATTAACTGTAATTGTAACCAGGGTAGATCTCATGAAGATTGACCTGACAGGTACATCAATAGCAATGTTGGCCTTACCCCATTAGCATTAATTACCTCTGTCTTCACATATAGGTCAGTTATTAAATAGTTTTTTTTGTCATATTGTGTAAAAGAAAATTCAGACATTACATTTTTAGGGCTAAGTGAGCCGGAAGTTGTAAATAAAAATTTACTCATATAAGATCTTTTCATATTTGATAATGGATTGGTGCACCTGCATTCGCTAACGGTTTATACTGTTGGGGCATCGGTGGGTGATGATAATATCTTATCGAGGTCAGATTGTGACAATTTTACCAGGCATTTATCACAATGGCTTCCAGGGTGAACCATGTCAAGGTCACATCTGACCTGGTATGACCTGACATGGGACATCAGTCCACATTACTAAGAATCCTCTTTCACTTTGGCACTTTGACACCTTTTGGCCTCTTATGTAAATCATAATTTTTTACTACCATCTATACAATCCAGTTAGGCTAACTACCTCAGTTGAGAAGAACTGACAAAAACTCAATTGGTATATTTTTTTCTGTTATTATTATTATTTATAAAGTATACATGCTATTTTTATTCATTAATTCATAATTTCAGAGCTACAGTCTTGTCGGTGAAGCTCTTGCCACTTTCCATGAATCTAAAACTGAATTGATCTGGACCTAGAAAACTCTCTGTTTGTGGTCTCATTCTGTTTTAAATTATTGTTAATGTTATTCATCTATACTAATATTATAACGCTGAAGAGTTTGCTTGTTTGTTTGAACTCACTAGTCTCAGGAACTACTGGTTTGAATTGAAAAAATCTTTTTGTGTTGGATAGTCCATTTATCGAGGAAGACTTTAAGTAATAACACCACACTATGACCAATAGAAGCAAAACAATTGTGAAAAATGTTGCGAAATCAGGAGAACTGTCGTGTTTTTTATAACTACATGATGAAGTCACTGACACAGCTAGTATATTATATGTATAATTGGTAAAAATAGTTGAAACAGTATATTATTCATTCATCCAGATATCACAGCACAATGAAGGTCCCAACGGCCCTAATCGACTCATATGTGAAGTTTGCATCACAAGGTTGCGGGACGCATGCAACTTCAAAAAGCAGGTTCTGGACTCGGAAAAAAAATTCGTTGACATGGTCGGCAGAGGGGAATTTAGATCAAAAGGTAATTAAGAAGAAGTATGGTAATCAGTCATTTTCATATTGTCTATGATCATTGATAGGTAATGTTTGTCAATCGATACTAATATTATAAAGAAGATTTTGAGTTTTGTTGTTCCTGGTTTATATTCTACTACTGTTCTGATTATATCTGATTTTGAGAATACTTCTAGTGTCCGATAGACCATTTATTGAAGAGGCCTATTACAAATTAGCAGGAATTTAGCATGATGGTTTTGAGGGGGACCTTAAGATAAAGATAAGATTAAGCCTTTATTTCTACACATATCAATACATTTTCCTTTTTTTTATTTTTCATCCATATTGTTAAGTATATACATTTATTTTTTACAATGATTAATTCAAGGGGACCTATAATGACACATTGCTAGCAATGGGGTCATCAGTCCACATTATTAACAACCCACTATCCTTCCACTGACTTATATTGATTAGGACTATAACCCAGTATACTAATTTGCTGCTGTATCAAACAATATACTGAGGTGCGGCCTTTTTTTTGCATATAGTCAATGCACACATTATGTTACTTATGCCCAATTTGCGCTCAGCCCGAGTGGGCAGGGAAGTGAGCAGCGCGAGAGTGTAAACACGAGTGGAAACACCATACCATTGGCGCTGCCACTCGCGCTGCCCGGCGCTCCCTAGATTGTCGGTTTATCGTGCGAGTGGCTGCGTGTTTTTACATTCAGCCCTCTCACTCAGTTGTCGCCCGGCAATATTTCCGGCAGCGCGAGTGGCAGGGAAGCGGCAGAATGTAAACATAGCATCACATATTTTTTTTACCTATATTGTATTTTGTTAATGGGGCAGTGTACTTGTGTATTTACTTTCTTTATATGACTGCACCTTGTGTGTTAAAGAGCTTGATGCAAATAAAAGTTTTATCTATCTATTTATGTTTTAGTACTTATATATCAAGCCCAAATGAAGGCGGAAAGTGAAGATGTCGAGATGGACAATGATGCAGAAGTTGAGTACCTGGAAGACGACCTAGACCTTGGAGATGGTATGGTATTATTAATTTTATTATTTTACTAGCTACTACCCATAACTTCATGAGCTATTTCCTAAGTATCAAATTAAGTAAGGTCTATGTCCGTCATCCTGGAAGAATCTTCTATATTCGTTACTAGCTACTCGCTCCGGCTTCGTTCGGGAGTACATGTATTATATATATAAACCTTCCTCTTTAATCAGTCTATTGAAAAAACCGCTTCGAAATCCGTCGCGTATAAAGACTTAAGCATTTATAGGGACAGACAGAGACAGCAACTATTTTATACTATGTAATGATGATCCATTTAGCCATTTTTTTATAATCAATGATAATGGAATGGTGTACCTATCTGTGCTAGCGGTATAAGCTGGCAGAGCATCAGTTGTTGCTAATAAGATGAGCATGAGGTCAGGTCAGTTAGCCCATCATGACCAATTCACCAGTAAATACTTAAATACATATTTTTAAAATACATAAATAATATAAATAGAAAACACCTAGGCTATTACAATTAGAGATGAAATGGATATCCGGTAACTATCCGGCGGCCTTAATACCGGATAGGCATCCGGCTTTATTTAGTTAGTTTTAGTATTACTTAAGGAATAAAATTAGTTTTAGTTTTAAATTTTTAATTACACAATAGTAAATGACTGTTATAGAAAGAAAATTAATATATTAGTTAGCTAAATCCCGCCGGATATCCGGCTATTCAGTCACATGGTTGGCCAAATACCGGATATTTGGGATATCCGGTCAAACTGCTATGCGTTTCATCTCTAATTACAATCATAGTAATGAATACAAATGTTGGCAAGAAGAAATCACTAGAGATTTCTTCCTGAAACGTAGTCAGTTAATTTTTTTAATATTATGTATTATGTATGTTTCATAAGGTTGCATAAGAATTTTAGAATGGTTATGGTGGAGAATAGCCCTAAAAAGGTTCGGAAACACCGCTCAAGCCATTCTAAAAACCATCCAATAATTCCAGATGTCCCCCTGAAGTCTTACAAGAAACAAGAACCCACCGTCTCCAAAGATATCACAGTCGCGACCTTGCCATTGAAGACCAAACGTGGACGGCCGAAGAAGACAGCCACAGCAGTGAAATCGGAGAAAAAGGCGAAACTCTCACACGCGGAGGAGAAGCCCAGATCGTCCAAAGCTGTAATCAAAGGTAGGCTTTGATTCATAAATATGTATTGTTTTTAGGACGTCTGGATTGTGATTAGTATTGGTCATCAAATACAAAAGTCATTTCTATACGTAGGACATTTTAGATAGACATAAAGAAGCCTTTATTCTGCACTGTTCAATACATTTTTTACATATGTTGGTTTATAAATGTAATTAGTAAATCACGGGATTTATACATGTAGGACATTTTAGATAGACATAAAGAAGCCTTTATTCAGAGAATACATTTTTTACATAGTAATCGTCTATAAATGTAATTAGTATCACGGGATTTATACATGTAGGAATTTAGAAGATCATATCCTTTATTCTGACTGTTCAATACATTTTTTAATATGTGGTTTATAAATGTAATTAAGACCGAAAAAGAGATTTATACTGTGTGAAAGATGATAGGTGAGAAATAAATAACGGAATGACTGCGAACAGAGATGAATGGAAGTTTATAAATGTAATTAGTAAATAAATGGGATAACATGGAAGACATTTTAGATGATGAAAGAAGCCTTTATTCTGCACTGTTCAATACATTTTTTACATATGTTGGTTTATAAATGTAATTAGTAAATCACGGGATTTATACATGTAGGACATTTTAGATAGACATAAAGAAGCCTTTATTCTGCACTGTTCAATACATTTTTTACATATGTTGGTTTATAAATGTAATTAGTAAATCACGGGATCTTACCACGTTTTATTTTTGTTGAGTTCCCGATATTTCGGTAGTGCTTCAACGGCCATGATCACGGGTCAACTGAAGAGCAGCGGGTAGACGGTAAACAAATCTTTTATGGACAGACATATTCGTCTACCTTTACACGTCTTCGTTTGTTGCTACTATTGGAACTCGCTCGATATTCATCTCGGCAAACTATACTCACAGTATCTTCACGTCTTAATACACTTTGTGATCGTTTTATGTTTTTGTTTAATTAAACCAATCACTGGATTCCAGGCATTAGAGAGTCTATAGCCATCTTCCCGGTTGAAATTTTTATATTTCTGTATTTCAATCAACTCTCTAACCATTCTTGGGATGTAATGCCCTTCTGACGCCAGTACCTTCGGTTGGTGTAGTTCAATCCAGTGATTGACTCAACAAAAATAAAACCTATTACTATAAGATCCCGTGATTTACTAATTATAATTATAAATAATGACCGCGTCAAACTTAAAACAGTACATATGTTGGTAGTTCATATTTCATATATTATACAATTTGTTTATTTTTTTATCTTCTTAATTGCATAATTGTTCAGTAACTTTATTTTCTATGTTTATTTGTTAATTACTAGCTGACCTGCGCAACTTCGTCTGTGTTATACTTACTTGATGTTTAGCAGTATATTTCGCCCATTTTACATAAATTATAGCTTATGTGTTATTCTGATATATAAGTTATATTACTGTAAAGTTACATCAAAATCCGTTCAGTAGTTTTTGTAGCGTTATATAGATAGCGTGCTGTTTGATGTTATACAATACAGTGGAATAAATGGTATAAGTAATGTTGTAACCCTCCAGCGGTGAGAACTGCAAGTGGATGTTTAACGGCGGATGGTGACCACTGCCGGTCTAAAACGGCGTCCATACTCGCATACTGTGTACATATTTAATGAATAAATGATTTATTTGTACGCACAAACGATAAATAGTCCTTTGTATTTTTAAATAGCATAACTATACGGTGCATACTATGTACTGTACATATTTAATGAATAAATGATAAATGCACGGCAATGCAAAACAAAATGAATTAACCTTTAAATAAAATAAAATAAATTCTGATTAAGTATATAGAAATACTATAAAATGTCGTGAAAAAAAAATAATGTCAGCAATTTGTTGTTTTATTTATAAACTAGGTATCTAGTTTTCAGGCTTGCAAGTTTTTAGTGATTAGGAATTCTCATAGCTCGCTAGCTTCCCAAGGGATATGCCTCTATAAGCGATTTTAGTACCAAAATAGTTGTTGCAGACAAAACTAGTTTTTTTTCTTAAATAAAGATACAATCCAGGCGTTCTAAAATATTGTATTGATATTTTATGTTGCAACTTGATAACATTTTGTATCTTTTTAAGTAGTTTAACCATTCTCTTATCTATCGATGTTGGCAGGTTTAATTTCCACGCTATAGTAACATTAAAAAATTGTTTTCTTTATATCTGATCATGTTATCGCCATTGGGAAGTAACTAGTTTTATAGCTGAAGCAGCTACCCGCTACCCTGATGTTCTCTCTTCTCTGCTACTGTTTGCTGGTGCCTTAGTAGGTACTTCTTATTTTAAGAGCTGTGCTCTTGTCGGTGAAGCTCCCGCCACCATCCACGGTTTCCATCAACCTATTTAGTGGTTGATACGACACGCCATGTCGTATCAGGTACCTCTAATATTGATAAAAATAAAACTAACCTTACTGTAATCACTACATCATAGACTACGACTTAGGTGTAGTTTATAATGTAGTGACTACTCCCTACTCTCTGGTAGTAGAGAGTTATTTCAAGTATCGTCTCGCGCCGACCCCACACAGACCGGGAGTCGTAAGAAGGGAGATATTCCCCGTATAGGTGCCGCGATGATAATGGAATGGTGCACCCGTCTGCGCTAATGGTTTACCGTGGCGGGACACCAGTGGAGGATGATAAGATGAGTATGCCGACATCGTGACGGATGATAATGGAATGGTGCACCCGTCTGCGCTAATGGTTTACCGTGGCGGGACACCAGTGGCGGATGATAAGATGTGTATGAGGTCAGGTCAGTTAACATCGTGACGAATACACCAGGAATTTATCAATATGGTTTCCAAGGGTAACCGCGTAGAGGGCAACCTGACATGGTACATTGCTAGCGAAGATGTCATCAGTTCACATTAGTAATAATCTCCTTTTTTAATTCTCCTTCCCCCGACGCCACGGAGTTAAGACATGGAACTTTGGCTACAGACACAATGTTATGGGGATAACTAATCTATATATATAAATAAAATTGTAGTGTCTGTTTGTAATATTGAAATAACCGTTTTTTACTACATGGTTATGAATACAAATACTGTACATACACCAAAGTAACATTTTTACGGGACTTTTATTGGCAGGTAGCTGATGTAATAAGGAGTAACTTAGGCTACTTTTATTTTAGAAAAATAAAGTTAAATTCCACGCGAACGAAGTCGGGTACAGCTAGTATACTGTATGAAGGTTTAAATAATAAATAATTGCCTCTAAATTACCTCTACACTTACCAAATACGTTATCAAGGTCATGTAACAGGAAATATTAATTTAAGTAACTATAGATTAAGCCTTTATTCATAAGAACGACAAACGTGTAATAAATGTATAGTTTATTTCTTTTGAGCTATTTATAGAGAATGTGCTAAGTGGTCTAGCTTGGGTACCCACGTATTATGGGATTATCTACACGTAAAAAAAAGATGAGATAGATGTGTCGTAACTTTTTTTTTTCGTGGGGAAAATCACTCATGGAGACCTGTCGGTCGGTCTCAAGGGTTAGACCCAAGTATTATGGGATTTTCTACACGTAAAAAAAAAACGAAATACATGTGGTTAATTTTTTTTTGCGTGGGGATAATCACTCATGGAGACCTGTCGGTCGGTCTCAAGGGTTAGATCCACGTATTATGGGATTATCTACACGTAAAAAAAAGATGAGATAGATGTGTCGTAACTTTTTTTTTTCGTGGGGAAAATCACTCATGGAGACCTGTCGGTCGGTCTCAAGGGTTAGACCCACGTGTTATGGGATTTTCTACACGTAAATAAAGGTGAAATACATGTGGTTAACTTTTTTTTTGCGTGGGTAAAATCACTCATGGAGACCTTTCGGTCGGTCTCAAGGGTTAGACCCACGTATTATGGGATTTTCTACACGTAAAAAAAGGTGAAATACATGTGGTTAACTTTTTTTTTGCGCCGTCCCGGCGTTGCACTTGTGTACATGTATTATACATATAAACCTTCCTCTTGAAACACTCTATCTATCGCTAAAAATAGCATTAAAATGCGTTGCGCAGTTTGAAAGATCTAAGCGAACAGACAGCGGAGACGACTTCCATGTAAAGATTATATACGTCTACTATGAAAAGATTATATCCCTCGACAAATTACGCAATGTCATCTAGTCGCACTGTAAGCAGAGCTTGTGTTATGGGTCTAGTAGCACAACCGACATAGTTACTTGGGTGCATATTTTTTTTAAATGCATACATATTAACACACAAACGTATAAAAACAATCGTACTCATGAATACAAATGTTTGTACCAAATCCGAGGAATGGAACCCGCGGCCATTGGAAATAAGGCGGTCTGCTAACCGCTAGATCATTGAGAGCAATAAATATAAAACAAGTAGTATCATATAGTCTATTTCTAATTTCGGTCAATGGTTGTAATAAGAAATAATTATAGCAGTATTTTCGTAATAACGTAAGACAAAGAAACTGACGGCTAATTTGATAGAATATGCTAATAAGTATATATCATGTACATGATTTTGCCAAGGTAGCCAAGGAAACGCCACTATACATCCTATATAGTTGTAAGCACTCTTGCATAAACGAAATATCTCCTTTGGAAAGTACACACTCTATCCATCATCATAAAAGCCATCGGTTCTAAAAATATCATTCAATTCTTGTCCCTATATACTTCAAGCCCATTTTTACGGCTAACTCAAAAAGTACTGGTCAGATCTTGGTCTTTATATGAGATCACATGACAAGCATCAGCTTTGAAATAAATAAATAAATAAATAATAAATCATAATGTATTCACGTAAAAATACAATTATTTTTACGTGAATAGATATGGTTACCTCTGAACCTACACAAGAAAAACTGTACGAATGTGAAGCTCCTCCTTTCTTAAAATCGGGTCGAAATCCATTTTGTACGATCAATACAACCTGCTTAATTTGCTGTCAATGAATTATAATGTAGAAAATGAACGTTTC